AGCAGCAGCCACAACAGCAACAGCAGCAACAGCCACCACAGCAGCACCAGCAACAACCACAACCACAAGATATTGTTGGCAATGGTGGTGTAGTTGTAGGAATGACTCCAACAAGCAGTGGTGTTGGCGTTAGTGTGGGTGGCTCATCTCCAACGAATTCCTCTTCAATGAGCAACTCAATGTGCCTCTCTAATACTGATCCTTCAACGTCAAGTAAAGAGAAGACCCCAATGTGTCTTATTAATGAGCTTGCCAGATATAATAAGGTGAGGACACACTACTTGGATTGAGTGTAATTAGCTGATTAAATGAAATTATACTAGAGAAACAGGTGCTGCATGTATGTTTATATGTCATGATAGTGTGTGATGTCTTGCTTTTTCTTTTTTTTTCACACTTCCATCATAATATCTTTCTATTATTGTACTGAGTGTTCTTATCAAACTTAGTCTTACTGTTCTTTCTTCTCAATGCTAGAGGTCATGCCAAACACTTTTGACTATTGATTATTTTTATTCAGACTTTAATTAGTATGACATAGTGTTTCATAAGCATAGGATATTCTAGAATAAAGGAATAGACTTTATTATAAAGGGCAATAATTCATATGGTATAGAATGTATGTTATTTGATTCAGTTTTTTTAATTCAGTATTAAGGAAGATGTACTGTATGTAGTGCAAATAGAAATATTAGTGGGAAAGAATTAAGGGTAGATAATAAGTGAAAAGATTAATCTTGTAGTTGGTACCTGTAAATATTGTCAGATGAAAGTAGTCTCTGATTCCCCTATTGACCAGATTCAACACCAGTACTGTTTAACGGATGAGAAGGGTCCAGCACACAAGAAGACCTTTACAGTAACATTGAGGCTTGGGGAGAGTGAGGAATACACAGCCTCTGGTCCCAGTATCAAAAAAGCTCAACATTCGGCTGCTGCCATAGCTCTTGAGAAGACGCAGTTCAAACACCCACCCCCAAAGACACAACGACAGAACAAACAAAGTAGGAAGCTCTCGTATGATTTTTTGCCAAGCTATGGAAGATAGGTATTAAGATTTGAAGAAACGTGCATATGAATTAACTTTGTTTCATTTCACGTTTGTCATATATTGGCCTTGTCATTCTGATAGTTTGTGTGCTTTCAGCCAAACTCACACCGACCGTTGAATTAAATGCCCTTGCAATGAAGCGAGGAGAAGCTGCTGTTTATACCTTTATGGAGACCCCCCGTCCCCCCAATCCATACTTCAACATGCCACCAAACATAAGAGCCATGTATAATCAGGTTTGTAATTTGAGACTTCATATGAACATCATATGATTCGATGTTCTTCATGTGAGTGATGAACTTTGTGTTGATATGCCTTTCTTTGATGAGATACTACTTGGCATTGATAATAAAGTGAAAATTACTAATCAATGTTCTTTTATAAACTTAGTATTATTCCGTTTGCAGAAATATTATGGACGACCGCCACTTTACCCTATATTCTTTGTAACATTAAGAGTTGGCACTCGGGAATTCATAGGTGAAGGAACCACAGCTCAACAGGCAAAGCACAATGCAGCCTCCAAAGCGTTAAAATTAATGAAACAACTTCCCATGCCTGAGAATGCTACTACATGTACACAAGGAGGTAAGAAAAAAGGAGTTATGTGGTTAAATTTGATGGGACTGTTTTTCAGATTACCAAAGTTGGAATGTTTTTTGTAAGTGAATGAGAGTTGAGTGTGTGTGTGTGTGTGTGTGTGTGTGTGTGTGTGTGTGTGTGTGTGTGTGTGTTGTTTTTTTTTTTTTTTTTTTTTTTTTTTTTTTTTTTTTTTTTTTTTTTTTTTTTTTTTTTTGGTGGTGTGTGGATGAGCGTGTGCACGTGTGTGCGTGTCTGTGCATGTACGCATGTGTGTGTGCATGCGTGTTTGCTTGTGTGTATGGGTGTGTGGGTGTGTGCATGTGCATACCTGTAAATGTCAAATATAGATAGTTATCTCTTTGATGGGTTAAATTAGGACATGTGGTATGTATATATTCAATAATTTGTCAGTGTTACCCATATCATGCCATTTTTATCTTTTGACAGATTTGTCAGATTTGCCCTGCAGATTTGAAATCTCCCATCTCCCTTGTTCATGAAATTGCACTGAAGCGCAATTTGACTGTTGCGTTTGAAGTCATACGTGAATCGGGTCCTCCACACATGCGAACTTTTGTCACAGTTTGCATTGTGGGAGAATATAGAACAGAAGGAGAAGGCACAGGCAAGAAGGTATTTAGATGATTTAAAATGTTTTATTATTGCTCAACCCAATCACGCTGGGAGACACTGGATGACGTTCTGTCACATCATGGTTTACCACCCTACAACAATGGGATAAGGTCTTCATGTTACATGCAGTTTAAATTGTGCAAGCTAAACGGTTGTGCTTGTTTTGCCCCGGCTTTATCTGTTGAAGAGAAAAAGCCACTCAGCAGTAGGTTTGAAGCCTCATTCTACCATCTT